TGGGGTGGGGTGGGGTGGGGTGGGGGGAGATAAAATGGCCCAGAGATTTAATCTCTATCTTTGCCCTCCCCAACCCCTCTTCTTGGCCCCTCCCCGCCCTCCATCTGTCCTCTCCCTCCTGACCCCTCTCCCCACATTCCCTCTTCCCCTCCTCCAAACCCCTCCCCTGAACCCTTCCCTCTACCTGTCCCCTCCCCCTCTCCTGACCCCTCTCCCCACACTCCCTTTTCCCCTCCCCCAAACCCTTCCCTCCCCCGTCCCCTCCCCCTCTCCTGACCCCTCTCCCCAAACTCCCTCTTCCCTTCCCCTCCTTCCCCCTCTCTTTCTGCCCCCCCCCCAGACTGGCGAGTGCATCACACCCCGACGTCGGGCCTGAAGTACAACTCGCTCACCTGCTCCCGCTCCTTCCACAACCTCTCGCACCTGCCCCCGTCCTACGAGTCGGCCGTCAAGTCGGAGCTCAGCCGCTACTCCTCGCTCAAGAGGCTGGGTGAGCCAGGGGCCCTGCCACTGGGGGGCGCTCACAGCCCGACCCCACCGCTGCCACTAGCCCCTGGGGACTCGCCCGGGGGGCAGAGCTGGCCTGGGGGAGAATGGGGCACTGGGTCTTTCCCCTCTAGGGGGCGCCAGCTCCCATCCGGCCCCAGGGCGGGGACTGGCTGGCTCAGGGGGACGGGGAATGGGGCCCGGGCCCTGTCCCCTCTAGGGGACACCGTCTGTTCCCAGGACTGACTGGTAGCCTGCGGGTGAAATGAATTCATTCACAGTGGCCCCATCCAGCCATGGAGCCTGTGAACGTGCAAAGGAGAGTTGGTCACGTTGTCCATTATCTCCCATCCCCCCTGCCCCTCCCCTGCTGCCTTTGCCCCTCCCCTCCTCCTGCCCCGCCCCTCCTGCCTTTGCCCCTCCCATCCCCCTGCCCCTCCCCTCCTGCCTTTGCCCCTCCCATCCCCCACCCCCCCTGCTGCCTTTGCCCTGCCCCCCCCAGCGGAGAAGGACATGGACGAGCTGTACCTGAAGCGGCGGCACCTGGCCGAGCTGACGCGGGGCACGCTGCCCCTGCACGCCATGAAGATGAACTACGAGCGCTACGGGGAGGCGGCCCAGCACCCGCGACGGGTGATGTCCCAGGAGCACATCCTTTCGGACGGCTACCGCCCCTCCCCCTACGACTGCGCCGGCCCCCGGGAGCGGGTCGTCTCCCACGAGCGGCTGCTCTCTCGCGAGGCCCTGCACTCCCAGGAGCCTCTGCTCTCGCCCGAGCGCCTACACCAGGGCACGGGGCCTTTCCAGGAGCTGCGGCTGGGCCACCAAAAGGCCCTGTCCCAGACCAACATCTGCGCCGCCGGCACCCCGCTGCTCGAACGCCACCAGGGGCACAAGATGAACTCCCACCCCTCCTCCGCCAACTCCGCCCAGGCCGCCTGGGAGGTGGGCAGCAACCACACGGCCAGCCGGCGCCAGGGCTTCGGCGCCCGCCGCCAGAGCACCATCGAGCAGCTGCAGTTCATCCCAGGGCACCACCCCAGCCAGCACCTCCGCACCGGGAGCAAGAACGAGGTCACCGTGTGAGGGCCCAGCTCAGGTGGACTCGACTTTCCAAGGCCATAGCTCTCTTCCTCCTCCTCCTCTGCGTCTTCCCCCGTCCTTCCCGTCTTCTTTCTTGGACCGGGCAGCCTGCCGGGCTTCGAGGCCTTTGCCGGGCTTTGGTGGCATCCGCCTTTGATGACCTCAGCGCCACGGGCCCTGTCAACTTTTGATGATGTCAGGGTCACGTTGAACCCATCCACACTGGATGACGTCAGGCCCTGAGACCCTGTTGACGTTGGGTGACGTCGAGATTGCCTTGTCTCCGTCCGTGTTAGATGATGTCCAGAATTGGTGACATCACTGCTGCAGGCCCTCTTGACTTGTGATGATGTCAAGATTGCCTTGGGCCCATCCGTGTTGGGTGACCTCAGCGCCACGGGCCCTGTCAACTTTTGAAGATGTCTGGGTCGCGTTGAACCCATCCACGTTGGATGACATCAGCACCTTGGAGCCTGTCAACATTGGGTGATGTCAAGATTGCCTTGTCTCCGTCCATGTTAGATGATGTCAGTGCCCTGGGCTCTATCGACTTTTGATGATGTCAAGACTGTGTTGAGCCTCTCCAAGACTGATGACATCAGTGCTGGGGGCCCTCTCGACTTTTGATGATGTCAAGATTGCCTGGGGCCCATCCCCGTTGGATGACATCAGCACCATGGGCCTTGCTGACATTTGATGATGGCAAGATTGTGTTCGACCCATCCACGTTGGGTGACATCAGCGCCCCAGGGCTCTGTTGACATTGGACGACGTCATGATTGCTTTGGACCCATCCACGTTCAATGATGTCAAATTGCATTTGGCCCGTCCACCGACATCAGCGCTGTGGGCCCTGTTGATGGTTGATGATGTCAGGACAGTCAGGCCTGTCCATATGGGATTACGTCAGTGCTATGGTTGTGTCCTGTTGACTTTTGATGATGATGTCAGCACTGGCCATCTTTGATGACATCTGCACTGTGGCCCTTGTCTATGTGTCATGATGTCAGTACCACCAAGCCTGTCAACCTGTGATGATGTAAACACTGTGGGTCAACCTTTGATGATGCCAAGAGGGCTCTCAACCTCTGCCATCCATACCGTATCCATCTCATGACATCAACACTGTGGACCTTGTCGGTGATTGATAACATGAGTGCTGTGGGGCTCGTCGATGTCTGATGACATCATCGCCGTTTCATGGTCTCAACACTGTGGATCTCGTCGACCGTGGATGACGCCAGTGTCCTGGGCATCAGCCTGTTGGTTTTGACATCAGACCAGTGGCTCCGTCGCCGATTGATGATGCCTGTTCACTGGGCGTTTTTACTGATGATGTCACAGTGGTTGGTCTGGTCAATAGTTGAGGAGATCAAGCACTGCCAGGCCTGGACAACCCTTGATGATGTCAGCACTGCGGACTTTGTCAGTGATGGATGATGTCAAGATCATCGGGGTTGTTGATGTTTAAGGTCGGCCATGTTGATATTCGGTGATGTCAGCTCTGTGGACCTGGTTCCTTTTTTTTGATGACATCAGCACTGTGGGCCTTGTCTATCTTTTGATGATGTCACTGCTGTGGGCCCAGTCCACTTGTTGATGATGTCACTGCTGTGGGCCCAGTCCCCTTTTTTATGACATCACGACTGTGGACCTGGCCCGCTTTTTGATGCTATCGCCGCCAGAGGCGCGGCCCCCCTTTTGAGACTCAGCCTGCCCTCTGATGTCACGCCTGCCGGCCCCGTCCGTTCGATGAGGACGCCACGGTGCCTTCCGATGACATCACTGCTCTCCTCCAGCAGGCCGAATGCCCCCCGGTGCCGGGGTGGGAGTGAGTGGCGACCCTGGCGCATGGCTCCCTCACTCCAGATCTCACGGCCGGGACTGGGAGCTCTTCACGTGGGCCGTGGTATGGCCGAACCTCCACTTCCATCCCATCCCACCGCTGCCCCCCATGTACATATCTTTATATAGCGCTCTCTGGTTTCTCTCTTCCAGTGCTTCGGCTCTTTGGATTTCCAGCCCACTCCACTGCCATGGGGTGGGGGAGCGCCAGCCCCACCCCTCCAGCACACGTGAATGTAGTTTGAACAGCCTCAGCTCTTTTGAACCCCACCCCTCTCTCCCCAAGATTGTGGGTCACCCCCACGCTGCGGGGGACTGGGTCTTCGTATCATGCCTTTTTCTTTATTTCTCTTCCGTTTCTTCGCGGGCCGCTTGCGAGGCCCTGGGATCTTCGATCTCGTCACCCAGTAGAGTTCTGACGGGTCTCAGCCTCAAACCTTTTCATCCCTTCGTCCTGCTCTGCGTTCAGATCCCTCCCGTCCGATGCCAAAACATGCTCCTCTTCTGCACTGCGGTGTGCCTATGGGGCATGGCCAGCTGCTACCCATACAGAGGTGCTGAGATGGGGTCCTGCCGCGCTGGGCGCTGCGCAGATATCGTCACCGAGAGCGGAGCCCCGTCAGGCCAGGCGCTGCCCAGACACAGAGTCACTGAGATCGGGGCCCTGTCGCGCTGGGCACTGCCCAGATACACACTATCTGTGTCTTCCCCACAGAGTTCTCCATCTAAACGTATCAAAAGCACCTGGAACCCAGGCTAACCCAAGGGCCCCCTCTCCCCTTCATGGCTGTACCACAGATAGTGGTTTATAGGCCGCGTACCCCCGTAGCTCTTTAGCCCAGGTGCTACACAATCTCATTCTTCCCCAAGGCATTAGGAACTCCCGAGGGCCTTGGCATGGCTTCTGGTGCAGAACGTCTTGGCCTCAAATAAAACCCCTCTCTTCACATTGGCTCCTGACGTCAGGGGACTCTCTGCAACCCTGGGAGGCAGTAGCTTAAAAACCAATACAAGGAGCGGCTTTGCTGCTATATGGTTAGCCTGCGGAACTCCCCACCACTGGATGTCTCTGTGGCACCTTCAAAGGATCAGCTTCTCTAGGGGTGACTGTGACTCACGGCAATTCAACCGGGCCCTCTGTCACAAATCTCTTCAGCTGGGGTTATAAATCAAGAGCTGAAATCATTTAAAGCCAACCCCCTGGGTGGGTTATGCCGTATTTGGGATGTCTTGTCCCTTCCCCTGAAGCAAGTCTGTAGAGACCACTGGTGGAGACGGGATACCAGGCTAGACCGGCCTGCCCATTGGTCAGTTCTTAGACTCCTGTGATTTGGCGGGGGGGGTGCTTCAGTGTTTGGGGTGCCTGTCTCGAGCGCCTGATTGTGAGAGAGGCGGGCGCTCAGTGCTGCCAGGTAATTGGGAATGCCTTGATGGCATCCGGAAATCACAGGAACAGAGGAAATTGCCTGGAGGCGATTAATGGGCCCATCTGGCCCATCCCGTCTCTGACTGTGACCAGTACCGGATGCTTCAGGGGAAGGTGGTTAAAGCAGAATGTTTGGGAAATCAGGACTCCTGGGGTCTATCCCTGGGGAGGGGAGGGGAGTGTATCTAGTGGTTAGAGCAGGGGAAGGGGATGTCAGGACTCCTGGGTTCCATTCCCCCTAAAACCGGTTTGATATCCCTTCTCATGTTACGATCCCGCCGGATAGTCCTGTTCTCCATGGAGTCTGGGGCGCTGAGATCGCCTAATCTGGCCCCCAGCGTAATGCAGGCTGGACCTGTCCACTCCCCTTTTGAACTGCCCTAAATTCTTGGTCTCAACGACTCCCTGTGGCGGTGAGTTCCCCAGACTCGTTCCACGCCATGTGGAAAAAAAGCATTGCCTTTAACTCCCATTGTCCTTCTAGCCAGTCTCTCACGCTCCCCTCCCCGCCCCCCCTTTCAAAACACCACCCCTGCCACCTGAAGAGGCCACTCCCTTTAAGGGTCAGGCTGCAGGACATGCCAGGCAGGGGGGTTTTAGGATTTGATTTTTTAGGGTCCCCTTTTGAGGGGCAATTTTCTCTCCCCGTGTCTGATCATCCGGGGTGGCAAAGCTCTAAGCTTTCCTCTCCGGATGGGGAGCCCCAGCCTCCAACCTTCCCCTCCCCGAGCTCGATTTCCGCTCCCCCGCCCCCACTTCTCAGGATCTTTGCATGAGGTCAGCTGAGCTCTGCCCTCTTGACTTCACTGGTGCCATAGGACATGGAATAGCCACGGCTCAGGACGCCCCGGCCCTGACCCACATCCGCCCTTATGGGTCCCAGGGGGCAGGGAATAGCCACAACTCAGGGCACCCCAGCCATGACCCCGATCTGCCCCCATGGGCCCTGGGGGGCAAGGAATAGCCACAGTGTTGGGCGCCCCAATCTGCCCCCTACCACCCGGCGGGGGTGCAGCACCCTCACCCTGGCCCCACGCTGGCTCGGGCAGAGCAGGACTCCTCGGGGGGGGGCTGGACTCCGCCGAAGCAGCACCCAGGGGCCCAAGCGTCCGCCGAGGCAGGGTGTGGGGGGATTGGGGGAGAAGCTCGGGGGATTTCTGCCCCCCAATACTGGCGACGGCAGCACAAGCCATTCCCCCGTCCCCCCCTACCTCCCCACTACATTGTGTTCCTGTGATCTGTGGGGGACCCCCTCCGCCCCCCCATTCCCCTCCCCAGACATCCCCTCCCCCCCGCTGAACTCGAATCAAGGGCTAATGTTTCCTCTTCCTCCCCTCCTCACCCCAGGGGTATTTTCGTGTTGGGGGCGAGCAGGTCGGGGTGGGGAGGGTCAGGGTTTTGTTGCTGTTGTTGTTTTTTGGAAGCATCTCAATGCAAAACTTTCCCCTGATGGGGGGGAGGTCCCCTGGGTCTCTGCTGCCCTCCCCCCATCTTGGCTTTGGGGGGCAGAGGGAGCCAAGCCATTGGCTCCATTTGTCCTGCCCTTTGCCCCCCAACTCGAGCCATCACCCCCCCCCCCAAATAATCCCAAGGATTTTGGATCTTCCCAGTCAGCTCAGACCCAAGTTGGGGTGGGGGAGCGACCGGTTTGGGAGACCGCCATGGGCCTCCCTTGTGTGGCCCTCCTGGGGGGGGGTGTCACAGAGTGCCCCCCCTCGGTCCCATGCCTCCAAGCATAAGCCATAGTTGACCGGGGGCGGGTTGGGTCCCCGGATGAACAGCCATTTGGCCGGGACGGGACCCAGTACCCGCTGTTAGAGGAAAGGTGCTGAGATGTGAGGGGACTGGCTGGGGGGGATCCCTAGTCACCCCACGTCACTGGGAGTAGGGGGGGCGGTCATGGCAACCTCGGGGATTGTACAGAGAAGATGGGGGCAGTATGTGTAGGGGGTGGGGACAGGCGGGAGGTGTGAGGGGAATGTGGGGGGAGGTGGGAAGTTGGGAAAAATGGGGGATAGCAGAGGCGGGGGGTCAGTGGGAGGTGGGGGGTTGGCAGGAAGAATGTGGGGGGACAGCGGAGGTGTTTGAGGAATGTGGGGGGATGGCAGGAGGTTTGGGGGGATGGCGGGAGGTGGGATGATGGAGGGGGTTGGCAGGAGGTTTTGGGGGACAGCGGGAGGTGTGGGGGTGATGGAGGAGGTGGTTGGCAGGAGGTTTTGGGGGACGGCGGGAAGTGTGGT